CATTCGCGGTGTACCGATTAAATCGATCTCCCGGAAGGAATTTTTTTCCCCCAGGATTCCAATTCCACTCAACGAATCATGGAGCAATCCCAAACGAGGCACGATGATTACGTTTACGTTTTTTTTGTAGCTAGTGTGGTTTCGATATGAAAGAGATTACAAAAAAAAAAAGAAAGGAAGGAAGAAAGAAAGAAGGAGAAAAAAGAAAAATAGGAGAAATATCGTAGAATTGGCGAGTACGAAACAGCGAAATCGAAACGAATTTCGTGGAAATTGAATTTTATTCGAGCGGAATCAACCCGATTGAGAAAGAAAAAAAATATCGTGAAAAGTGTATCTTCGAAGCGAGTTATCGAAAGTTAAGTCGAGGTTGCTAGAACTCATCGAATAAATAAAGGGCACGCTGGTACACTGCAATTGGAGGTTACGACGGGAGAGGAAGTGGTGCATTAATTTCGAGTTACCCCTCGAATTTCCTTCAACCCCGTACGTGTGACCACTACAAAACCGGGGACGGAACTTGCGAGTAGCAGTTACCCCGAGGTGTTCGGGACGGCTGGTAATTTGTAGGTAGATATACGATAGACAATAACACCGGTGAGGGGCGGCAGGGCCGACTAATTTGTTTATCATAACTTTATCTTGATTTATTGCGCGACCACGGTGCGCGCCCGTTTCGTAACGCCAATCGCGCACGTTCGTGCGCACCCTTTGACGTACCCTTGCACGTGCACCAATTAAAAAGAGAGAAAGAAAAATCGACGGAAAAATGCTGGAACGATCTCTCGTTCTTTCACAAATCCCTTCGATCACATACCAGTCAGATATCTTTTATCGAAAGGAGAAAGAAATTTTCGTTCCCTTCTTTTTCCGTTGCACACGAACTTTTTTCTTCTTCTTTTTACCTCGATTAAATCGATCCTTAAACTTTTTTTTCAATTTCTCCCCTACCAATTATCCGCATTCCACAAGAGAGAGATTATTTCACAAGATGAACGCGATTCGACTTGACAGCAATTACACGAATTCCCAAATGATCGTTTCGTCGTGCGTAAATTACCACGGTGGGAAAAAAGAAAAATACGATCGCACAGTAACCATCAGTCAACCAGTTAGTGATGCCAACTACGCGAGAAAGCAAGGCGACGCGAGATAAAAAGCCGCGAGTCGCGCGGTGTCGGGCAGCGCTCGCATCGAGCAGCTAATTTTTTAAAGAGCACAGCGAAAAGGGGGTGCGAACAGGCGGGGCGAACCCCCCCGGCCTACGCTCCTATCCCTTCCTTCTAACCCTCTTCCTATCTTTATCCGTGTGCGCGGCTCGATCGGTGTGCACACGCAAGCCTCTGGAAGAGGTTCGTGGCCGG